CTTCCTTCGAGGCAATCATGAAAGCTCTACGACGACGAGGTATTGATGATACATGCTGCAGATGGATATACTGCATGCTTGAGGTAGAGTCATCCACTCCACGCTCCTAGGTAAAACAGTAACGGCTCGGGTTGCAAAGGGATGCCCGCAAGGCAGAGTGTTATCACCCCTGGTGTGGAATCTGGTGATGGACGAGCTGATAGAGCTACTGAAGAGCAACAATCAGCAGGTAGTGGGATATGCAGATGACTTGGTCATAATATCCCAGGGAAAATTCAACCATATAGTTAGAGATGGCATGCAGCAGGCTCTAACAATGGTCTCTAGGTGGACAGAGACTGTAGGGTTGATAATTAGTGCCACCAAATCGACAATTGTCCCCTTTGCCAAAAGAACGAAAATGGAGGGGCTCGGACCTCTTTGCCTTCAGGGAAACCCAGTTACGATGTTCGACGGAGTTGAATATCTTGGAGTAATCCTAAACTCAAAATTAACTTGGAACAAACATCTGGAGTAATTGGAAGTAATTGAGAGGTCAAAACTGATACTTATACTAGCCAGGAGAACTTTAGGAATACCCTGGGGGCTGCGGCCGGACATGATGCACTAGCTCTATACAACGGTTGTAAAGCCAGCAATAACCTATGCGTCTTTGATATGGTGGACAAAGACACAACAAGACAGAGCCAGAATGAGACTTGGCAAGGTGCAAAGACTTGCTTGTCTGGGCATTACAGGGTGCATTAAAAGCACACCAACAGCAGCTATGGAAGTCCTACTAGACCTACCTCCGCTACACACTGTAATTCAGGCGGAAGTCAGGATGGGCCTTCCACAAACAATGAAACAACTTGAACAAACTAACAATCAGATCAGGCCTCACACAAATAAGGGTCATAAATCTGACAGTATTCGACATGATAACTGACTATACACTCCCCAAATACTCACCCGACATATCCTTCCAAGTCCTAATTAGTGAAAGGGAGGAATGGGAAAACCAACATGCACTCTCCAATCTCAAAGGCCATACCTGGTACTCGGATGGGTCAAAGACTGCGAATGGCACAGGCGCAGGAATCTACAGTCAAGAAGGAAGATGCGAGACCTTCTTCTCTCTTAAGGTCACATATATCTGTGTCCAGGCATGTATAGTATTTTTAATACCTATTTAGAAGTACCAGTTGTTCTAGTGACTAAACGTATATCGCTTCTTGAACATACAAAAAAAATTAGGTTAGGAATTTCCTATTTGTACATGAAATTGACGTATTAGCAATCGACGTTCGTTTTTGTTGGTAATTTTTTGTTTCATCTGATTTGTGATTGATAAATAAAGATGGGGTTATTCTAAATGGGCAGTAAAAATACTATATATGCAATACTACAATTCGCAAGAATCAAGAATATGATGGCCTGCAAAGACAGGACACTCAAAGACAGTCAGGCAGCGCTGGGGGCATTGAAGTACCCTAAGGCACCCTCTGCACTGGTAATAGAATGCCGAGAAGAACTCAACAACTTGACGGACCAAAATAACGTCACAATGATGTGGGTGCCAGGACATAAAGGTATCTCGGGCAACGAAAAAGCTGAAGAGCTTGCATGTACAGAATAACTTGGTCCCAAATCAGCTCTCGGAGTGCCTAAAAGCACAGTAAGAAAGGAGCTGAAAAAATATCGAAACAAACATGCTCAATACTGGAAGCAAATACCCAAGCATGCACATTGGAAACTCTTCATACGTGAGACATGCAGCAAAAGAGTAAAAAGACTGATACAACTAAGCAGCTAAGCAGCTAAGCAGAAATCAACTCAGAGTAGCAACGGTTTCTTACTGGGCATGCCCCAGTAAAGAAGCACCTGCAAACAATGGGCTTTTACAACGGAGACACGAGCTGTAGACTATGCGGAACAGAGACCGGAACAGCCCAACATATTATATCAGAATGCGATGCACTAACTCGCAGAAGACAAAATATATTTGGAGAAGATGAACTAGATTCAGACACATATGGCAAACATCCAACAGACCTACTTCGCCTACTGCAGGGAACCAAGTTTTTGGAATGGGAGCAGTAAACAGGAAGATTTAGCACCCAAAAATTGCAGCATAGTGTTTCAGATTTTGTGACAATTCAACGCCGTTGATAACAGAACATATTCTGGGTTGACGTTTCGGGATATACCTATAATAGTAGATTATACCACGAGTCAATAATGATAGCTATTATTCCCGAGGATTATTACGAACTGAGCCGCGTTAGCGGCGAGGGAGTAACATTCCGAGGGAATAATAGCCATTATTGCGAGTAGTATACTCTACTTTATTTACGACAAATTAATTTATTTGAGATTTTCAATGAACAAATTTCATCCGTCTCATAATTTTCAATACAAATCCACAAGCACTACACGTTTGACACTGACACTTTTGTGGAATAATGACCATTAATCCCGCTACTCGTCATTAATCCCTGGAGGAATAACATATGTCATTATACTGCCAAAATCACAAATATAATACGCACATTATACATTAGTCGTAAATAAAATGCATTAAATAAATTGATATCAGTTACTCGGGAATAAGAATATTTTTTTTTTCAGGAATCACGCTACTTTAAAATTTGGTAACAATATTTCTAATAATAGTAAACTGAAAAGCTGCTGCAAGACGTTTAAAAGCGTTTGCAGATTGAGTATAGCTATTCTGGAACCATCATCAACTTCATTATTTCTTATAGTTGGATATTGGATTTTTATACCATAAAATAGAGTGAAAAAATACGATATAATGCACTAGACCAAAATAATTAATTTTGGTCACAGAAAATACATTTTTATGTTCAACTTGGCAACGTCGCATTACAAAATATTCAATAATAGGAAGTAAATTATTTTATAAATACAAATGAAAACAATAAAAATCTGAAGGAGTGATGTCAGGAGACCGAGCTGGCCAAGGACAAAGTTTCCAAGGAACTGGACCGCGATTGGCAATTACCCTCTCTCCAAATATATCATGCAAAAATTACCTACTGAACTTCTCCGGTATTATGACCAGGGCAACCGCCTTGCTGGAACCAAACCATATCGAACTGCGCTTCAGTCGTGATGCTGCTATTGAACAAAATTTCAATGAAAATCCGTCATCCCGAGAAGCTGTTAGAGAACTTCGCATACCTACTCTATGAATAGTTCATAGAGTTTTGAAGCAACATAAATATTACCCGTATTAACCGACCATAATGCAGGGCCCTCGACGAGATGACTATCTAAGGAGGATCTAGTTTTGTAAATGGTACATTATTCAATGAAATGCAGAACCAGCTCTCCCAAACTATGTTGTATGGTCCGATTTAATGAAACTGATCAACAGAAAATCCAGAATTCAGAGCTCAGCGAAGGTTGCAAGTTCGTTTCGGGTTTAATGAGTGGTGCGGCATTATTGGCATTATTGGCATTATATCCTATTTTAGACGCAACGTATTTTTTTCTATGCATTTCTGGTTTTTATTTTTTTTAGGAACCTTATATGGTTTGCAAGGCGGTTGACCTGCTCATTATACCGGAGAAGGTCAGGAATTTTTGCATGATACATTTGGAGTAATTGCTAATCACTCCTTTAGATTTTTATGGTTCATTATTTGTATTTATAAAATTATAAAATAATTCACTTCCTTACATGAAATATTTTGTAATGCGACGTTGCCAAGTTGAACATAAAAACGTATTTTTTCTACTACCGTGCGTAAAGTACTCACTTTACGCACTATTCAGAAGATGTAAAATTTGTCTTCACGCACTAGTGCGTAAAGTAGTTCACTTCACACACTAGTGCGTAAAGTAATGTCAATGACAGATGTCGACCTGTCAAATTGCTATTTTTCTGGTAAATTACTTCACGTACTAGTGCGTAAAGTGAAATTACTTTACGCACTAGTGCGTAAAGAATTTGTCTAAATTAATTTTTTTACGACAATCACATGATCACTTTACACACTTGTTGATGACAATCACACAATCACTTTACACACTTGTTGCATAAATAACTATTCTGTGACCAAAATTAATTATTTTGGTCAAGTGCATTATATCATTGTATTTTTTCACTCTATTTTATGGTATAAAAATCCAATACGGCGGCTATAAGAAATGATGAAGTTGATGATGGTTCGAGAAACCCGAAACGTGCTAAAAAAAATCTAATCGAGCAAGGGTATTCTGCACAAAGCGTTGCTTTGAAAGTGTTTTTACAAATTTGGGAAATTTTCAAAAATGAAAGATTTACAGCCTATTTTCAAAAAACCCTTTTAGTTTTTTCTTAATTTTTCAAAAATGTGAATAGCTAGACTAGACTCAATCTACAAACGCTATTGAACGTCTTACATAATTGTCTAGAACTTTTCCCATTCAACCTCCCTCGTATCCGTCATACTTTCTTATATCCTTAATCCTAATACATTCATTCCCCATCAATTTGGGACACACTGTATAAGCAAAAAATCCTGAAAAAGGTTTGACTTTGATAGTGTCAAAACAACCCTATCGAACTGGTTGGAAATTTTTTATGGCTTTTCATGCGCGTAGAAACATGGCTGCCAACGATTGGTTGCCAAGTTCACATTGTGATTGCTGGCAGCTAGAAATAGCTGCTACGTTCAAACTCCAATTTGCCCTCAATTAACTATGTTAGCTATGCTAGGCAATAAATTAACCGTCGAGTTAAGATTTTGCAAATTGTGAATTATTCAAGTTGTCTTAAAAGTAACGTTAGGCCGTGTAATTACAAGCAATAGCATATAAATTAATGTGTTATTAATATTGAGTTCAAGATTTCGGGACCGCTCCGCCGGATTCCAAAATAGATTATTGATGGCACGTATTTATAAGGGTCTAAAACCATGGCATAAATCAGAAGAAAAATCTTCCACGGAGGGCACGCCGCAAAAAACAAAGCTGATTTAATAATAACACACACACAGACAGATACTTACCCACATAAATCGCCGTTGAGTTATGGTGTGGATCGTAAGGGCACACCGCTTGACCCGGTTTTTCTTTTTCAACGGTGTAATTCCTGCTAAGGACGTTGTATTCACGGCAAATAGGTTTGAAAGCGTTGGTTCCGCAAAGTAACAAACGACCCTGGGCAGTTTTCGCCATTATGCGGATGTAATTTTGGCAGTTTTCCTGGAAAAATAAAGAAAAATAATGACTTAATTGTGGCGGCGGCCCGTTTTTCATCCTAATACCTTTAGCTGCTTATTTATCTCGTTTCAACGATATAAACGCCCGTAATTGTGAACAACTAAATATTTACCATGTTTAAATTACCTTTTTTTCTCAAAAGGTAATTTATATTACTAGTACGGTATGGGCTTCATTCCAGTAAGGAATGAAAACTCTTGCCACACCACTGCTGTAATGAGCATTACCGTACGTGTGATATACAAGACTTCATCTACGACCGAGATTTTTGTTTTTTTCTTTTTTGTTTACCTATTCAAAATGGTTTTCATTTTTCACAACTCAAATTATTTCCATTTCCTCAACAAGTCCCTAGTTCAAGCAAAGCTGCAACCACTTTTAATATTTAAAACGTTCATCAGCATCAGGCATTAGTTTTATTTTCAATATTTATAATAAATAAGCATTTGTTTGAATAAATAAATCGCAGAAAATTGTTTTTTTTTTTTTTAATAAAAATGAGTTACGTAATGACCTCATAACATAATTAGTGATATAATGACATAAGTTCATTTACGATCACTAGTACGATAATACAACTTATTACGTAGCTCAAACAGGCTAAAATGGGATACTTAATAGGCTCTTATAGTGTGGGTCGTATATAATAGTTATTTACATTACAAGTGCGTTTATGAACATGATAAAAATAACGAGTGTCGAAGATTAGAACGACGAGGACCAAGTCGTTCTGATCACACGAGTTTTGTAGTCATGTTTGTTCAAACACACCACCGGATTAGTAGACCGATTGTGTGGCCTTTTTTTTGCCAGGACTTTGTAAAGTCTTGCAGTTTGCGAGTAATCTTCGATCTCCTCACAAAAGGCCCTCCAAGCCTCCCACTTTCGGCCTACCGGTCATCTTCAGTGCTAATTAAAAAGAGAGAATAACAGGCCCGTTAGAACGAATTCCAGAAGCTTTAATTTCAAGAAATTATGTCGGAATGACCTCTAGCATATTACATAAATTCAATTCAAATAAATGTTATGTCTCATTCAAGGCACTGAAGTCTTCAAAGATTGAGCACCATAATTTGATTATTTTCAAGGCAGACAAGGGCAACTGTCTGCAGTGTCTGCTCATTATGGCGAAAGACCTTCATATCTCAAAAGTTGAAACCTTTCTCACTGAGATTTTATTCAAGATTCTATCTTCAAATTCTTTCAATAGTTGCTGTTTAGATGCACTAATGCATCGGCATTTTCTCTTTGCGTTTGATAAAACACGAACTATTTTTTGTCAAAGAAACAAACTTCATTTATTAATTCAATGGAAACAATATTTTTGCGTGTGTGCATGGCGGCGGTTAGGTCGAAGAGGGAGACTCAACACCTGATTGAATCGATAATCTTTTCGCTTGACATCGAGGTCAGTGGCGCATCAAAATAACCACCTTATTCACAAAAAATATGAATATCGACCAGTTGCATTAGAAGAACCTCTAAACTTATCAAACATTTCAAACCCTTCCTTGATGAACTTAATGCATCATACCCTCTTATTTCTAGCAACCCTGCAATGCCTCAATTGTACGGTTTACCCAAAATTCGCAAAATAGACATACCCATCAGACAAGTAGTCGGTTCCACTAACACCGCAGTTTGCTTCCTAGATAGCTTTGTTTTAAAACTAATAGCGAACTTCAAAGGTTTTGCCCAAAATTTGGTGTTAAAAGTTCCATAGAGTTAGCGAACAAACTCGTCCTCCTCCAGCTGCCAAGTAGTTACTTGTTACTGTTAGTTTGCTTTGTTGTTTCTTAACTTTTTACCATAATGTCCAAATCCGAAACTGTTGGTTTTATTGGTGACCTTTCGAAAGGCAAAACAAATGACCAAATACCATATCCGTACTTTTTTTCCTGAATCTTTGCCTTTCACAGATTTTTTTTGTATTCAACAATACATTCTATCAGCAACCTGATGGCTTGGCCATGGGTAGTTGCCTCTTGCATTTTTTAGCTGACATTATGATGGATTATCTTAAGGCCGCGTTAATGGCCGCCATGTTTAAATTTATTTTTTGAAAATGACGACTGCGCCACTATACACATACGGTTCAATATTTTATTTTTTGTCCAAAACGAAATCTGTTTGTCGGTGAAACACTTAGTGAAAGAGAAAGACAATTATACAATTATGATGCTCCCAATGTAGCTTTTTTGCCGTGGCGCCATCTACTTGAAATTGCTTGAACTGTTTTCACCTTCAAAATTCGTTTTAAGGTCATCTCAAAAAATCCGCACTTATTTCCAAAATTCTTTGGCATGAACATTATTTGATATATTATCTACAATCTCTGCAATTATCTTTTTTTAGTTTTTCGTGGTTATCAATAAAATATGCTTTTCACGGATCCAAGCTTGATAAACATGCAATTATGCAACCACCAACACATTTAGTTGTTTTGGTGGTTGCGAACATGATTTTTGAATTAAAAAAAAAAGGCTGAATATCGAAAAACCAAAATAAGGAATTGTAGATAACCGATCAAATAATGTTTATGCCAAATTTGAGCCAATTTTGATGTGCCGTTTTTTTAAAGACCTTAAAACAAGTTTCGAAAAATCAACCAATTAAAACACTGCATTCTCATCGTTGTTGCGGCCTTAAGTCCAAATTCATAATTACCAATGTCAATAGGATAATACTGGTATAGGTACGTGGACAATTGTCTCTGTTTTCTCAATTGTGACGCCCAGGGAGCAAGTCTTCGCATGAATTAGACTATCCAAGATGCTGTCAAACTTAAATTAAAATGTCCGGCCAAGAGGCACACAAACCCGTTGTTTGCTTGTCAATGTCACGTGTTTTGGATAGGCAGACAATTCCAAGATGCTGTCAAACCATAGAGAAATATAATAGTAGTAAACTACGAGAGACGTTTGTATAATGTAACAATCTGGAAGTGTGTTTGTGCACACACCCGTAGCGCATTTCACATGGTGTGGCAGATTATTGAACTAATTACTTCGATCGTTTCTGACAACTCGGTTTAATTTGTCTTTGTCAGCAACTTGCCCGAAAATGTTCTATCTTTTTTAACACATACAAAATACAAAATTTGACAAATGATTGAATCCAAAGACCATCAATCAAAAACTGAATGCTCACAATCATAACGTAAAATTTCTTCTATTATTTATGTAAGAAAAATGAGAAAACATTCTGTGATCATAAATATTAAATAATTAGACAAACCCGACACCAATAATAGTGTGTTTTCGAATTTGCGATGATGCGAGATGCAGTAAAAAGGTCAACACAAAGCTTAAAATACAAACATTTTTAGTTACTGTATATTTATAAAATTGGGATAAAAAAATAAGTTTGTTTGAAGATATCTCAATTTTTGTATTGTTCAATTACCTCCTTGACCCCCTTAAGGAATCTCATTGCATCTAATTTGGATTTTTTAAAAATAAGTTCTGTTATCGTTCTAAACAGTTGCTCGGTAAATTTTAGCAAGTTTTTTCAACAAATGTTTTGCTTTGCAATTAACTGTTTTGATCGTTTACAGTAATTTATTTTTAATAAATCTTAAAAAAAATCAAAGTTAATAATTTAATTATTCAAAAAAGCCGCCTTTTCACTGTCGGTAAAGAAGAAAGCTGCATTCAAACAATGTTCACTCTTTTATTGCTGTCCGTAGCCACCAGAGGCACTAACGTCGACATTGCGCCAGTTAAGTACAAGGGAATGACTTCTCTCGTAGTTTACTACTATTATATTTCTCTATGTGTCAAACCTAAATTAAAATGTCCGCCAAGAGGCACACAAACCCTTTGTTTATTTGTCAAAGTCACGTGTTTTGGATAGGCTAATAAGTTGCATAACCCAACCCAACGTTTCCTTGACCTTGGAACTCGAGGTTGACGACCGAATTAATTTTTTTGATTTAACAATTCACAGGGACTTGAATGGATAACAACTCTCAATTTACAGAAAACCAACCCAAACTGATACCTAACCATCTCCTACAAGACTAAAAATTACTTGGTTGATCGGCACTAAGGACAAAATTGACAAACTAGCCAAAAGTGATGTCTATAACTTGGAATGCGATTCGTGCAGTTAGTTGTTCTTATGTAGGACATACTTGTAGACCATTAAAGACGCGGATTGCTGAACACTTAAGCAGGCCCACTTCTGTTTTTGGTGGACATCACACATTAAGCCCTGAATCCAATTTGAAAATCCTTCACCAAATTAGTTCCAAGAACTACAATAGCCTAGATTTTCTTGAAGACATTCACATATCCAGTGAGCTAACAAGCAACCCCTCTTGTCTTAATACATAAATAAATCTTAATAGACATTACATTACTCTTCATAAGAGATTAAACATAACTAAAACTAACCCACTTTGATATATCATATTTTAGTTTTGCTGGATTCAACCGTTCGAAGTTGGCATAGAAAATAATTGAAACGACAACACCTTGTTATCAATTAATTATTATTATCATTTCCCTTTTAACCTCCTTTTCGAACTGGAGTATTCTTTTGTTCACATTTTTGCAGTTTTGTGAAGAAAAACTTCATTTACTTTTTTCGGATTGTTCTGCCACCTGATGGAGACGACACTGAATTTGATGACTTGAGTGTTTTTTATGCCTGGGCCGAGATTCTAAAATCACGATTCGACACACGACTCGACAACGATACCGGCCTTGTCGTGTCGAAAGGTATAATTCCAATGAGATTTCTAACCTAGAATCGTCGGAAAAATCGTCTCGTTGTCGAATCGTATGTCGAATCGTGATTTTAGAATCCCCGACCTGATCAACCACACTTCTTAGGCAATGACGCTCGGATTTTTTAAAAAACTAAAAAAAGTAGGCAAAAATGTGATCTTGCTTTTGGCACCACATGATTTCAACTAATAATTGCCTTTTTAATACATTGGGGTTTTAAGTATGTTAGTCTGTTGCAATTTTCAATGT